CCAGCCCCTCACTGGGGGATTCTAGGCAGGTGCTCTACCACTGAGTCACATCCCCAGTCTTACTCCTTTCTTTGAGTTAAATAGCAAGTTCTGATTCTATTAAGCTTTCTCATGCTAGAGATACTAGCCAAGGCTATATCCTGCACAGGATGGCCCTCAACACTGAGATCTAGCACACCTCTTTGGCTGATACTAGAGAAACCAAGTCATTGGAGGACTGGCTGATATTTCTTCTCTTTAAGGCCTGCTCATCTTTCTTGGCCTTTCGGAGTTGCAGGTTGGTAGCAATCCTCTCTTGTCGCCTCGCCTAATAAAGAAAACAAATAATTGGGCTTGTTATAGCCAGGTTGTTGGAGAACCAGGATGTTATCCCATTTGGGGTCTTTTAATTATTATGATTTTTTTAAATATTTACAGGTGTTTTGCTTGCATGCATGTCCATGTACCATACTTGTGTGTGATTCCCACAGCAGCCAGAAGATGGCGCCAGATCTCCTCAAACTGGAGTTCCAGACCATTGTGAGCCACCATGTGGATGCTGGGAATTGAACCTGGGTCCACTTGAAGAGCAACGGTGCTCTTAACCATTCTGCCATCTCTCCAAGCCTCCTCTTTTGTCAGTTTAATTTCATTCATTGTTCTCTGTGTGTATACAGCATGTGTGTGGAGGTCAGAGGATGTCTCACAGGAGCTCTCTCCCTCCACTCCGTCCTGGATGGCACACAGGCAGAGTCATCTCACTGGCCATGGTTATTTTGTTTTGTTCTTGCTTTCAGAGGGGCTTCCTCTTCTACTCTGTAGCCCAGGCTGGTCTCAAACTTTAAAATCCTCCTGCCTCAGCTTCACCAATATTGAGACAAGTGTGTGCCATTACACCCAGCTTAGGCCTCATCTATGAGGTATTTCAACTGTGGTCCTAGTTGTCGGTCCTCAGTTTATACTCACAGACACATCTTTGCCGCGGTACTTAAATTTTTTCAGCCTCTCTTCAGGAGCTTCTAAGGCAGGCATGTTGATTGAAGGAAAGAAAGCACCTATAAGGTAGGAAAATTAGCAAAGAGATCATCATTGCCCAGTGTGCATGTCACTATGGCAAAGTCATCAGGTACTGTGGGACCAGAGAGCAGACTCAAGGAGCTGGCCACCACATCACCACACCATCATTGTGGGGCATGTACTCTATCAACAGGCTGTGGTTACTATGGAACTCGGCAGGAACTAGTCCTGAGCTTAGTACAGAAAATCTTTACAATGCCTCATAGGCTGGGATGTAGCTCAGTTGGGGAAGTGCTGGCCTAGCACACATAGCCCTGCTCCATCCCTAGTGATGCACAAACTGAATGTGGTGGTGCACACCTGTAATCACAGTATTCAGGGGCAGAGGCAGGAGGATCAAGAATGCAGGCCTTGGGGCTGGAGAAATGGCTCAGTGGTTAAGAGCATCTGTTGTTCTTATAGAGGATGTAAGTTTGATTCCCAGCATCCAGATAGTGGTTCACAACCATCCATTAACTCCAGTTCCAGGGGATTCAGGGCTGCCTTCTGGGTTCTTCGGCACCAGTCACGTGCCTGGTACACATATACACACACACAAGCAAAACATTCATACACGTAAAAGGAAATAAATCCAAAAATTTTTCAAAAAATTTTCTAGACTATCTGCCTATATAGGGAAGTTAAGGCCAGCCTGGGCTACATGAGACTGTCTCAAATAAAATACAACACACATCTTGGTTTGAACTGAGTCACTGGTGGTAAAGGTAAGCTGGACAGAAAACACAGATGTCCTTTATAGGCAATGTGCTGGGACACTTGTATGCGATATATGGGATAGGAAGGGGGCCAGCCAGACCCAATAGGAAGCTGCCTTTCCTCCAGCACCCAATCCACCACTCACTGGGTCAGAACCACCTTCAGCCCCGCCCACCGCTAACTAATAAGCCTTAGTCAGTTTTCTTTACCTGGTTGAGAACAGAGCATCGTAAACTTTTTCCACCTTGACCCCTTTCACCCAAGATTTTTGTTTTGTTTGGTTTGGCTTTGAGATAGACTCTTGTGCTGTTCAGGCTTGTCTCAAACTTACGATACAGCTTAAGGTAGGCTTGAGCTGCTGATCATTCACCTCCCAAGTGCTGGGATTGCAGGTGTGAACCACTCACTCCCACCACACACGGCTCACCCAAGACAGGTTTCTGTGACCCTCTATGAAATAGGTATCCAAGTCAGGGCCAGCGAGGCTGCTCAGCAGGTAACGTGTTTGTTGGGCAAGGTCAAGCCTCATACCCCGAGGACCATCACCAGAGCACACAGTGGAAGCAGAGAGCTCACACCTGAAAGTTGTCCTCTGACCTCCACATGTGGGAACAGATGCCCATTCTCAATCTCTCCCTCCCTCTCCCATCTAAAAGGGAATCATACAAATATTTATTGATAACAAATCAATGTATTTAAAGGCCTTTGAGACTCTATAGTCTAGGCTGGCCTCCAACCAGTAGCAATCCTCCTGCCTCAGCCTTCAGAGCCCCAGGTTATAGGTAGGCATGACTACACCTGGCTAAGAAATTCACTTTAATTCTCTAGGCCGGGCATAGTGGTGCACACTTGGAATCCCAGCATTTTGTCGGGCGGTGGTGGCACACGCCTTTAATCCCAGTGCTTGGGAGGCAGAGCCAGGAGGATCTCTGTGAGTTCGAGGCCAGCCTGGACTACATAGTGAGTCCCAGGAAAGGCGCAAAGCTACACAGAGAAACCCTGTCTCGAAAAACCAAAAACAAAAGGAATCCCAGCATTTGGAAAGCAGAAACAGAAGGCTTCTGTGAAATGTGAGCTCAGCTTGCTCTATATACAGAGAGAGCTCCAGGCCGGCCATGCAGTGAGACCTTGTTTCAACCAACACCACCCCCCACCCCCCCACCCCCGCCAAAAGAGTATACATAAAATTTTACTATTTATTACCGATAGAAGCAAGTTTGCCCACTAGATAGATAGATGTGCTCCCTTATTTTTACATAAAGAATTAAATATTGGGAGCAAGCAGTGAGACACCTCAGCAGGTTAAGGGCGCTTACCATGTAAACCAAATGCTGACCTGACTTCCATCCCAGAACCTACATAAGGCAAATGGAGAAAACCAACTCCATAAAATTGTCCTCTGCCCACACATTGTGGCATGCATACTTTCTGCATACTCCACACATCATGTGTGTGCTCTAGCACAAGCACACACGTGCACACACAGGCACTAAAATTAATTTTTAAAAAAGATTCATTATGTATACACATACCGGAAGAGGGCATTAGATCCCATTATAGATGGTTGTGAGCCACCATGTGGTTGCTGGGAATTGAACTCAGGACCCCTGGAAGAACAGCCACTGCTCTTAACCTCTGAGCCATCTCTCTAGCCCCCTAAAATTAAGTTTTTAAAAAGAGCATTGTAGCCAGCAGTGGTGGCGCACGCCTTTAATCCCAGCACTGGGGAGGCAGAAGCAGGAGGATGTCTATGAGTTTGAGGCCAGCCTGGTCTACAGAGCAAGTTCCAGGACAGCCATGGCTATTACACAGAGAAACCCTGTCTAGAAAAGCCAAATTAAAAACAAATAAAAAGAACATTGCATCAAATACTGGTAGTCTAATTAAACATCAAAACTAGAAGAGCAGTTTCTCCTGAATGTGTGATGCTCCTGCACCACTGGGGGAGAAAAAAGGCATGAAATTGCCAGTGCAGACTTTGAGACATGCTGGACGTGGCTCAGCAGTTAAGAGCACTGGCCGAGCTAGGTTTGAGTCCCAGCACCCACATGGCCACTCAGAATCCTCTGTAACATCACTTCCAAGGAATCTGACCCCTTCTTCTGGCCTCCACAGGCACCAGGCACAGACATTCATGCAGGCAAGACACCCATCCACACGAGATTCAAGAGAAAAGGACGCACATTGACTTCCACCATCCCCACACCCCCTCCAAGCTCACCTTCGCTCTACAGGTTCCCAGCCCTGTTCACAGGCAGATCCTGGGCCCGTTAGTGGCTCAGTGGGTAAAGGCTAAGCTTGATTCTCCAGAACCTGCGTGATGGAAGGACAGAAACCGATGCCTACAAGTTGTCCTCAGACCTCCAAACACTTGTGCACACACATAAATAAATGTAATGAAAATCACTTTAAAGCAGTGGTTCCCAGCCTTCCTAATGTTGTGATCCTTTAATGCAGTTCCTCATGTTGTGGTGACCCCCAACCATAAAATTATTTTTGTTGCTACTTCATAACTGTAATTTTGCTATTGTTATGAATCATAATGTAAACATCTGATATGCAGGATATCTGATGTAACCTCAAAGGGGTTTCAAACCACTAGTTGAGAACCAATGTTTTAAAAAGAAGAGCTTGGGCAGGGAAGCGGTGGCGCATGCCTTTAATCCCAGCACTCAGGAGGGGCAGAGGCAGGCAGATCTCTGAGTTTGAGGCCAGCCTGGTCTGCAAAGTGAGCTCCCAGACAGCCAGGGCTACACAGAGAAACTGTCTCAGAAGAAAAAGAAAGGAAGAAAGGAACAAAGGAAGGAAGTAGAAAACGAAAAAGATGGGGGTAAACAGTTGCTACCAAGTCAAACCTGACCACCTGAGTTTGATCCCCAGCACCCAGGTAGTGGAAGATGAGAACCAACTCCTGTAGGTCATCTACCTTTGCATGTCTATCACACACACACACACACACACACACACACACACACACACACACACACACGTAAATCTTGGGCAGACACACTGATCTGTCACAGGTTCCCACTTCATCTGCACCTGGAACAGTGATGCTGAAACTGTTACCTCTACATCACTAACATCCACTTCCCTCCAAGTAGGATTTACACTGAAACCATGATTGGACGGAGTGAGAAAGGCTTATTCCCTGTGAGGGGTGCCAGTGACTTTTGCCCTGGGGTATCTCCACCCACTTCCTGAGGACACTGGAACAGAGGCAGTTTAGGACAGTAGGCGCTGGGAAATTGCCATGGGGCTCCACCACCATCCCTTAGCTCCCTGGTGAGGTTTCTTCCAACCAGACACAATGGCACGAGAGTTCCAGGCACCAAGTTCAACACCAGGGAAACATGCACAGCTGTCCAGGCTGCCTGGGAACTCACAGTGGGCAGACAGGCAGGACCTCCACTTGGGTGATTAAGCCTCCTGGGGCTGTGGAAGACTGTTCTGGAAGGGACTGGTCAGGCCAACAAACCCACAGGTGATCTCGCTGAGAGCCAGGAGGACAGCCAAGACACAGGTTACCAGACCTCTAGGCTGCTATTTGGAAGATTCTACTCAAAGCCACCAGAAAATTTAAAACATCAGAACGAAAGCTAAAAATGCACTGGAAGTCAGGCCTGGTAGCCCAGGCCTCAAATCTCAGCATTTGGGAAGCTGAGGCAGGAGGATTGGGAGTATGAAGCTAGCCTGAGCTACCTAAGGAGACATTACCTCAAAAGGGGAGGGGGAAATGCATAGAGCATAGCTAACTTGTTGAGCATAAGCCCTGCCCACCTTCAGCATGTCCTAAACATATTAGCCCATAGCTGGGCAAACTTGCCTAACACACACACAAAAGCCTATTTTATAATAGAGAAATAACCCTGTCTGTACACAACAGCTTATATCTAGGCTTAGCAGAGTAGACATTTATCCATGTTGCTGCTTCCTCCTTAACTGTCATAAAGACAATGTCAGAGTCACTATGTCATAAGCCACAGCTAACTTCAACCAGGAGACGCAGCAACTTAGACCTTCTCAGGGTAGACCCTTCGGTGGAGCCTTGGCAAGAGGGTCCTAAGAGCCCAGACAGTTGCATGGCCTACTATAGGAAGAAGAGTCAGTGCCCAGGCAGAAGAGGCCAGAGGGCTCCCCGACACCTACAAGCACAAGTATAAGCCCCCCATCTTCCGTACTCACCTACAGAGAGCTGCTGCCGTTAGTCCCAGGGTCAGCCTTAAATGCCCTCAGGAGTGAGCAGGTGTTTTGAAGCT